TGGCCCAGCTAGGAATGCAAGTCTCCCTCTCTTTTCTTGCCTCCCCACCTGCCCCCTACAGCTAACTAGTAACAATTCTGGAAAGTTTATGCTTTCTTGGTCTCTTTTCAGTTCTAGCCTCTTCACTTCTACACAGTTCATTGTTCAAATCTGCATCACTTCATTCTTAGATGATTACAGGGGTCTCCTAACTGATTTCCTACCACCAGCCTAGGCCTCACTGAATCCATTCTTATGTTGGTTACAGAAGTCATGTTTTTAAAACCTATGTAAATATCACGTCACTCCTCCTCTTGAACTCCTTTGTTGCTCCTCTTGGCTTTTCATAATTAATTAAGTCCACATTCCTTAGCTTACACTAAGTTGCTCAGGACAGACTCCTGTGATGCTCAGCCCATACGAGTCTTCTTACTCAGATATAGAAAACTTTACTGGCTTTTTATTTTTTATTTTTATTTTTATTTTTTTATTTTTTTTAGACGGAGTTTCTCTCTTGTTACCCAGGCTGGAGTGCAATGGCGCGATCTCGGCTCACCACAACCTCGGCCTCCTGGGTTCAGGCAATTCTCCTGCCTCAGCCTCCTGAGTAGCTGGGATTACAGGCACGTGCCACCATGCCCAGCTAATTTTTTGTATTTTTAGTAGAGATAGGGTTTCACCATGTTGACCAGGATGGTCTCGATCTCTTGACCTCATGATCCACCCGCCTCGGCCTCCCAGAGTGCTGGGATTACAGGTGTGAGCCCCCGCGCCCGGCCCCTGTACTGGCTTTTTAAAATGCATCTTACAAATACATGCTCTGTGGTTCAGATCGTCGTATAATTTGTCTGAGAGAAACTTGGTAAACTTGACAGTTTAGTTGAAACCTAATTTCCAGTTTTGGTGTACCACAATGATGCCACACAACCCTATAGTCTGTCTGGGGGATGGCTTTTTAGCTGTGGTTTGTCAGCCAATCACTTCTTCAAAGGGCTTCTGGAAAAATTAAAAGTTAGAATACCTAAATAGTAAGGAAAGAGCTGGGACAAACAAACTATATAACACCAGAGACAGGTCTAATAAAAATAATCTAAATATCCAACAGTTCTTGAAATTGCTTAAATAAAACAGGAGTTTAATGGTATGAAACTGTCTTCCCCTTTTTGAAGGAAAAAAAGTTATGTGTATGTTCAAATATATATTAAGAAGAATTTTTAAAGATGTGCGCTAGGCCAGGCACAGTGGCTCATGCCTGTAATCCCAGCACTTTGGGAGGTGAAGGCGGGCAGATCACTTGAGGCCAGGAGTTCCAGATTAGTCTAGCCAACATAGAGAAACTGTGTCTATACTAAAAATACTTTTAAAATTAGCCAGGCATAGTGGCGCATGCCTGTAATCCCAGCTACTCGGGAGCCTGAGGCATGAGAATCTTTGAATCTGGAAGGCCTAGGTTGCAGTGAGATTGCGCCACTGCACTCTAGCCTGGGTGACAGAGAAAGACTCTCAGAGAAAAATTAAAAAATTAAGTAAAAGGTATGCACTAGAGTTACCAGTACTCGTTTTGTGTGGATGGGATTATGGGGTTCTTTGTGTTCTTCTGTTTATCTGTATGTACTGATTCTTCTTAATGATCACACACCATTTTTCTAGAAAGAAAAGACCATACAGAAACTATACAATATTTATATTCTTAGTCCACCAAAATTATCAATACTAGAAAAAAAAAACCTAAAATATTAACTTTTTACAGAATTATTTTTTACACAATGACATTAAATCCGATGGTTTCCAACCATTTTTTATACTAGCCTTTTCCCTCAAATTGAAATGTCTTTCCCAGTCCTCACACCGAGGAAACTTTTTTTTCTAGCCTGGTAACTATTGTTTAAAAATTCTGATTGTCACATTCTCTGCAAAGCTTTCCTTGATCCAGTGTCTGCTGTAGGTCAGGGATGTATGGTGAAATTTGATTCACAGGCCGAAGCCATCCAGCACCTATTTTTGTACAGCCTAAACTAAGAAAATTTTTACTCTTCTGGAAGAGTTGGTTTCCTTAAAATTCCTACTGCTCTGAGGCAGAGGACACTTTCTAATTCAGCTTGGTCTCCCCAGCCTAGAGGAGAATACCTTGTCCATAGGAACCACTTAATAAATAAATGCAGAATGCAAGGAGTGATGTAAGCTTTCTCCTTACACTAGAATGTAAGTTACATTAGGACAGGTGTTCTATTGCCTTTGCTCATTGTTTATCTCCAGTGTTTGGAAGAGTATTTGGAACATAGCAGGCACTCAGAAAATATTTGTGGATGTTATGTGCACCAGTATTGGTACCATATTTCTTAGTTTTGTAAGTTTTAGATCAATTCTTAGTCTTTTACATCATACATTTGGCAATTTGTGGAAGTCCACTTTAAGAACTCCAGATAAACAAGAAAGAGGCAGCTTTACCTGTGTCTAGAAGGGAAGTAGTTATGAGATCTTTTCAAGAGCAGGTTGATTTACCCCTGTCTTTAGTGCATCTGTATATAGACATTGCTGCCTGTAATTACCTCTTCCTTTCACCCAGTGGTAACAACTATCTCAAGGCAGGTATTAAATCAAGATCCTGCTGACACTGAGTTATTAAATACCTGTGGCAGCAGGGCTCATGAAGCAGAGGGACTCAGCATCCTGGCCCCGTTTCAATCAGGGTGAGCTGTACTTTCAGAGATTAACATACCCACATTAATCATAGCCTAAACACTTCATCTGGTCTTGGACAGTCTCTCTCACAGTGAGTTGAAAGCTCTTAATAGAGGATGAACTAATTAGTTTCGTATCAGCTCTATGAATTTCCAGGGAGGATGGACCAGGGTGCCCGTCCTGTGCTGAATAATGATCATCATAATACTTTGCATGTTTTCAGTACTGGATTCTGAAATAATGCATTCTAGAATTTATTTTTATAATGATAAATGTATCCACTTAGAATCTGACCATATTATACTTGTCTTATTAAGTGATTTATAACTTTGTTTCTTAGATTGATGTGAGAGCCTGTATCTCCATTTAAACATTGTGAAGTGCCTAATAAGTACATGTTGCTCTCTCTTAAGGCACAGAAAGCCACAGTAAGGCAGCCTGTTAAAATGCAAAGGAGAAAACATGTCTCCTCATCACTCCCTTCTGGTGAGAAGGGTTGGCCCATCTCCCCAGCCCAATCCGCTCTTGGTCATGCTCTTGCTAGCCTTTTCCTCTTTATTCAGGAGGGCTGCCACACCCTACTCCTGGGATTTCTGCATGGTTTAATCAATGACCCTGTTTATCGGCAAACTTTTGCTCCTCTGCCTCATCATATTGGAGGGTTCACCTCCCACAGCCCTTTGATTTAGAAAAGCCCTGTCTTCATGCACTCACAGGGGTCAGAAGAAGGGAAGACCTGCCTTGGCTTTCTGTTCTAAATTCACACACATGCACACATATATGCCTTTTAAAAACCTACATGTCACCTTTTATTTCCTTGAACAACAAGAATGAGTGTAATTTTGAACACTAGTGAAAATAGTGAAGAGGTGAAAATAGTGAAGTCTCTACCAAAGGAAATAAGATCTCCATTGTTCTAAGAACAACAAACCTTTGGGAGGTTGAGTCTGGATGGAAGAAGAGAGGTGTAATGACACAGAAGGAGCATGGGCTTTGCAGTCAGAGATACCAGCCTTACCCTCTCTGTACCTCAGTTTATTCATCTATAAAATTGTGATAGCACCTTTTAATGTTGTTGTGAAAACATGAGACAACTTAGTTCAGAAAATGTCAAGTCACCTCCCCTCCCTCACATGGAGTCAGGGTATCTACTAACTGATGGGCCACTGGAATCCTCTTTAAGTGATTATGTCAGTTGTTCTTATTCTGTAAGAGAATGGCTGAACAGTTGAAACAGATTCAAAGAGCCAGGCCAAAGGACTATGGGAAAGATTTTCTAGTGAAACACAATCTTTTTGATTGGAGACAATCCAAAGCTCTGTATATGAAGCAAACAATTATTTACTGGGTGACTCTCAAGAGTTTGCCAAGACCACTGTTATAATCTGTAGGACACAAAGGGTATATCGCTAATCATAGTTAATACAAAGGAGTTTAGAGGGATTTATAACTTTCATAAATTAGAAAGTGCTCTAGTGGAGCACTAGAGTGGAGTGAAGATAATTCAGTATATCTTTTTCTTATTTGAATTCAGACACTTCTTGAGTGACAGGGATAGAAGGATAGCTGGAGATTTCACCTGCATGTGCCTTATGTCCCCATGTGTATTTTGTGAATGTTGGCATCATCATGATTTGCATAGATACCCACTAGACTAAGGCTTATCCAAGGGGAGTTCAAAGAGAGACTTGAGTGGTCCATCCTTAGCATCAGCCAAAAGGTAGCTTTGAATTTAGGGGTCTTATCTTCCAGTATTCTTCTAGCACTTACTTCCTTCCTATCAAGAAACTTCAATTTTATTACTTTCAGAAATTACTCATTTTTATAATAAATGAGTGAATCGACATCTGGGTACCTATAGGATTTATGGAAATATGGAAGCATCGGCTACCATCCTGGGTCTAGCTAGCATCAATGAATCTAGATAATGACCACATTGGGGATCTTTTCACAACCTTTTATCTCACTACCAAAGGAAAGTTTTAAGAAAGTTCTTACTGGGCACACTGGCTCATGCCTGAAATCCCAGTGGTTTGTGAACCCCAGATGGGAGGATCTCTTGAGCCCAGGAGTTGGAAACCAGCCTAGGCAACACAGTGAGACCCCGTCTCTACAAAAAAATTGTTATCCAGGTGTGGTGGTAAATGCCTGTAGTCCTAGGGACTCCAGAGGCTGAGGCAGAAGAATCAGTGGAGCCTCAGAGTGTGAGGCTGCAGTGAGCTATGATTGTGCCACTGGACTCCTGGGTAACAGAGCAAGACTCTGTCTCAAAAACAAAACAAAAAAAATTCTTGCTCCCAGTCCTTTGGAAAGAGATCTGATCAGATTTTCTTGAACAAAAGAAAACAAAGGCAAATGTTTAGGACCCAAACCCTTTTTGGGTGAGAATATTATATTTTTTAATATCCAGTAATGCTATATACACACCTGACAGATGTATCAACTCAGAAAAATATTAGTTTGGCTTTTTTAAAAAAGGGAAAAAACTTCAATCCACATTTATTGAGATTACAAAAATAACAGCACATTTCATGAACTCATTACAACTTGGAGTTAGCAATACATCCATAGATACAAAGAGCGTCTTTAAATTAACTGCTTCTTGCCAATACAAATCTCACAACATAAAAAAGTTTATTTTCATGTTTACAGAAGAAAGATGCTGATTGTTTCTTAAAATTCTCTTTGGAATTAATGGGTGAGATTATTTTTAAAGTCAGGGATCATTTTGAATTGAAGAAGTATTTTAGAAACATCTCACAGTGAATGTGAACAGTTGCACATCCTCTTCTAAAGATCATGTTTTTATCGCAGGGCTTCTGGAACTTCCACCTACAAAAATAGGGGATTTTCTCTCAATGAAACAACACACATGATAAAGTGAAAAATATCCATAGGATATGTCTCTAGCAGTATCCTCTGAGAAGAGCTCAAGTATAGGCTGATTATTGTTGCATGGTAATAATTTTTGTTACCATGTTATACATTTTATGTTATAAATTAGGTATCAAATCCATCACAACTCTGTGGCAAAATGTTTGACATTGATGAATCCTTGGGAAATTTAGATTATATTCCCTGCTTTTCTTCTTAAGGAAATTGGGACATGTATATCCTGGAGTGTCTTAAAATGGTCCTGGCCCTTATATGACTAAGAGGCTGGGAAAGTGGCCCAGGCATTCCCCTCAAATGGAAATGTGTTCACTTGTGTGCCTGCTCCTGATGTTTCAAACTTGGTGTGTTTGCTCTCGCACACTAAAATATTGAAAGTATTGGTAAGTATTGTGAGAGGTGACTTTGGTAGCATCATGCAATGGAGGACAACTCAGTTAATACATCTGTGCCTCTGTGTCTGTACTCTGGTTACTTACCCGCTTTAGCTGTTTGATGCTGCTTCCCCGAATTGCTTCCATGAGATTCTCATGAGCTGATCTCTGTGGGGTAGAAGGTCGGGAACTATCTTCCATTTTCTTCTCTTGCACTGACCTCAGAGAATTTTTTATTTCCTTTAGGATATTGTTTGGCTGTTTCTTAACCTTTTTCCCTTTTTTCTTTTTCTGTCCATTTTGTAAAGCCCGTTGGGCACTCTCCTGTTGTTTGATGACTTCTGCGATGTTTCTGGTAATGAGCTTTTTCTCTGGGAGTGGAGGAGGGGGAGGGGGAGGTGGTGGTGGCAGCCTTTGGGGAGGAGGAGGGGGAGGAGGAGGAGGAGGAGGAGGTATGGCCACAGGAGACAGAGGGCGGCTCCTCACAGTCCGGACTTTTTTGGGGAGTTTTGGGGATGACCAGGGTGAGTGCCTGGGAGACACATAAGGTGAAGAGCTAGGTGTTCCTTTTTGCCAGACTTTGGTCCTAAGATTGTGTCCTGCATCATATCCCTCCTGCAGTTTTTGCTCCTGCAAACGTTTTTGCCTCTGTTTATCCATATTTCTTGTCAAAATGCTCGTCATGCTCATTCTTGGTCCTGGGAGCTCAAAATGGTACCCCAGCCTCAGCACTGTTGTGTTCTCCTTCAGCAGCTTGACAATCTCCATCTCCACCTGGCTGCCCATGATGTGCCTCTGGTTGTGGAAACGCAGCTCTGTGAGCACCGTGTTGTGCTGCAGAGCTCTCATGATGGCCAGGATCCCCTTTCCCGTTATGAAATTGGACTCGACGTTTATGTTGGTGATGTGCTTATTGACTTTAAGCATCTCCGCAATGGCCATGGCTGCACTGTCATCAGCGTGTGTATTGGCCAGACTGAAAGTCTTTACCACAGTGTTGTCTTTGAGGGCTTCAGCAAAGCGGGTAAGGGTCTGTGTTGTGATGTTCTCAATGTTGTTCAAATTGATTTCTGTCGTGTCAGGGTCATTGCTTTTAATCTTGTCCAAAGCGTCCTCAATCACTGTAGGATTTCCACAGGGGTGAATGGCAGCTGGGGACTCTGTGTTCCTCCCATTGCTGCCATTGGTCAAATTTATGTTCTCTATTTGACTTTTAAATATCTTTGGCTTAGAGTTATCAGAATTGACACTGTCATAATTCACAGTTCCATTAATCCCTTTTGCAGTTTCAATTGTTCTTTCCTCTTCTTCGCTGTCTTCTTCCTCCTCTTCCTCCTGGGAGTCCTCCTCCTCCTCCTCTGTATACACTTCCTCAGAAACCTCACTGTTACTTTCAGTAAAGATAAGCTCTTCCTCACTTTCCTCTTTTTCTTCTTCTGCAACCTAAAGAGTATTATATTATCATTAAGCATCTTAAAAATGGTATCATAATTTTAACTACATTTTTTTAACTTGCAAAAGTAGCAACTGGCAAGTGATATAACCTTATAACAAAAAAAAAAAATTTAACAATTCTCTGCTTCTGATTTCACTAGTTCTCATGACCAAGGCTGGCATTATATTGCAATAAATAGTAATAGCTTTTGCTATAGAAATTTCTCTTGTTTTCTGCAGAATATCCAGAATTCAACTTATCGAATAAAAATATATAATCATTTTGCCAATCTGAACAAATAAGTCAGAACTTCGGCTTTAGAAAACCCTTGATGAATTTGTCCATCTCCTGAAGATGGACTCTTAACTGCATTACTCTCCATTTACTTAGAATGTAGCAAATTCAGCCCCCCCCTTCTGGACTCACTCTGTCCTTTTTTATTTCTCCATCTCAAGCAATCAAATGACAACAAAAACATACAATATGTTTATGAGTTCCCTTTTTTAACGTTCAGACATTCCCACATTGCCATCCTTATAGCAGATGTGACAGGAGTCAAGTGCTCTCTGCCAGGCCTTGCCTCCATGTAGACAGAAGCAGACCTGTAATTTGCTCCTCCAGCATGTATCTGCTTCTGTGGCCAGCACAGGGATTCAGAGACTCTGCATCACCTGAAAGCTGCCTCTGTACCTGCCCCTGACGTGGGGAAGGGAAGCCTAGAGGCAGGGCTGCTGCTCAGGACAGTAGGAGGTCAAAATCCAGTGTGATGCAGAGAAAACATTCAAGTCATCCTTTTGGGAAAATCAACTTGAAACCTCCAGCTAGTTCAGGGTTAAATGAGACAGACTGCAGAAGACCAAGTGGGAAAGAAAATCACCCTTGGCACCCACTAGCTTCTAACCAGTAACGTGGATGGAACAGCAGAGAACAGTAGAAAATCTTGAGGTAAGCCATTGCCCAGCTTTATGGTCTTAAATTATTTAGCATGTATCAATTATGAAAGACTTTCAGGCAAACACAACTTCATTCTATCTTTGTCTTTCCTATTTACAAGATTTGCTGTACAAAGAAGCTCAAGCGATCCCTTCTCTTTTTCTTGCTGTCTTTCCTGATTAAAAAAAATAATAAAAGTCTAGAAATTGCTGACAGAGTCTTATTTTTTTCTCCTGCTGTATTTGTAGTCCTTTCTCTTTATTTTCTCTGCAGACCTGGGGCCCTGCCCTGTCCTCCAAGCCCTGATTCTTCTCTATATTGGCAACTTTTTTTTTTTTTTTAACCCCAAGGGCACCCGCCGCCTGAGGCATGTGGATCTAGCTTTGGAAAACACTGCACTTGTCTCCAGGTTTGTTTGCCCAGTTGGTATCACAAAATAGTCTCCAGTTATCCACTGTTTGGAGTGGCAGGCACCGAGCGATGGCCTGGGGAAGGGGTCAGCCACTCCTGGAATGACTTGTCCAGTCTTAATTTACTCACTTCTTTGGGAACAGGGAGGGAAAGAGAGGGATACTCTGTGTGTCCGTGTGCGTGCGTGCGTGCGTGTGTGTGAGAGAGAGAGGGAGAAATGTTTGGTGGCAGCTGGTTGCAAATCACAAAGCAACAACCCAAGAAAGCATGAGGCTCTAGCCAAGTCTCCTGGCAAATATGAGGGGAGAGAGTAAGCCTTCCCTACCCAGCAGTGGAGCAAATGGATTAACCTGACTTCTCCTCACCCCCATTCCATTCCAAATTCCTTATAATTCTAGCCCCTGTAAAGCTGTGTGTATTCATGTGTTTATGTGTGTGTGGTTTTCTTTTTACCTGTTTTAGTATTTGGAGGAAAGGGGCCTGTCTCAAAATCCAAGGTATACAGCCTTGTATGACACCGTTGTATTTTTATTCCTTTTGGTTTTTTTAAGACACTCTGGCTCTATCTGCAAGAGCCCTTTTCCCCCTCATAATGTACCTGGAAAGATAATACCTGAAACTGTGAGTTGTCGTATAGCATCTAAATGATAGCTCTCCCAGAAAGCCGCCTTTGACATCCCCCCCGCAATTATCCCTCCGATGCATTCCCAAAGCATTGTACCCCCCCACCCATAAAATACCTGTCACATACTTTATTTTGGTCACTTGTTTTTCCTAGCAGACTTAGTTGTTAGCTGTTGAGAGCAGTGGACCATGTCTGCTTTGCTTACCTGGCGCAGTGCTTAACATGTAGTTGGAACTCAATAAATATTTGTTTACCGAATGGCTCTAAGTTGACATTGGTTAACAGCAACTGAGAGTTAGGACTAGACACAGGAGAAAGTACTGATAAAGCCTGGTGGGGTAAGGTGACAAACCCTCCCAGTTTGCCTGAGCCTGAAGGGTTTCCCAGGATTTTTAGTTATGAAACCTAGATAGTCCTGAATAATCTGAGATGATTAGTCACTCTAGATGGGGGACATCTGGGGGAAGAACAATAAAAGGGGAAAAGGTGTCGATAGAGGCAAGGTGAGAGGATGCAAAAAACAGACTTTGCTTACTTTATAAATTATTCTGTCGCTAAGGGGCCTCTTTTATTCCAGATTTGATATATGCCACTGCGTTAGCGTTAACCCTGATTCTTGGGAGAATGGAGGTTGGAAGAAGGGTGTAGAATGAAGAGGTGGGAGGTAGGATGGCAAGGTACTGGACAGGGAGAAGGGGAATGTTAGTAAACTTGGAAAATGAATCACGTAATGAGAAGAGTGGCCATTCATTTCTCCTGATCGCCTCCCTAACGTTATGTATGTACATAGCACATGCAACGTATGTGTTAATTGACAGTTTATGTTATTCTTAAGGTTTCTGATCCACAGTAGTCTATTTATTAGTTAAGGTTTGGGGGAGTCAAAAGTTATACATGAATTTTGGATGCTGCAGGGCAGGAGTTGGTTTGCCTGACCCCCGTGTTGTTCAGGAGTTGTGAGAGCACCAATTGTCAGGTCCCATCCCCAGGTTTCTCATTCAGATTGAGGGGAGCTCTAGAATTTGCAATTCTAAGAAGATCCCAGGTAATGCTGATGCTGCTGACTGGGTGCCCACAAATTTGATATGTTCTTTAATTTTCACTTCTATGTACAAGCTATTAACCTCTAATGAGTTTTTTGACCTCACCTTGTCTCAGTTCTCAAGTGCAGAAAGAATGAAGTGAGTTAAGGGGAGAAACTCATTGGCACCTGTGCTGAGATTTAGCCACTGCTCAATAGAGGGTCTAGACCTTTGGGGTTCTAGTGTCCCTGGGAGCTCCAGTGTGGCATAAGTTTGTGTGAGCCCAGGTGGGCAGAAAGACTGGCATTCAACAGGTACTGCATCTGCTCTTTATAAGCCTTTACAGAGCCAGCCACCTGATGATCAGTCAAGACCCTCGGCTCCTTCTCAGGGTTCCTACTCTGCGGCTCTTCACTTACACAGCTCCCTTGCTCCCCCAACCACCCCAGAGCTGCTTGGAGATTTTTCCTGTGCTGCAAAGTGGATTTGCACCCTCCATCAGCAAGCTTCTGCTCATCACACCGTGCAACTACAGACAGTTGGCCAGCAGGAAAAGTGTGGTGGGGGAAAAGTTAACTAGCCTAGACTGCTCCTTCCACATAAAATGTGCCTGGTTCCCCTTCACCTTCCATCATGATTGTAAGTTTCCTGAGGCACTCTCAGCCATGGTTCCTGTACAGCCTGTGGAACTGTGAGCCAATTAAACCTCTTTTCCTTATTAAAAAAAAAGAAAGAAAGAAAGGAACTGAAGTCCATAATTACAGCAGCCTCTCTAATTGAGCTGATAAGCCATTGGCAGGGATGGTGGGTCTGTCCAGCTGACGATACGTTTTGCCCCTTGGTTCCCACCACTATCATGTCTCTGTGGCATTGAAAAGCATTTGTTCTAATACTGATAGACTGATTGTATAGCCTGGATATTCTGAGACAGTTTTATTCTTTTTTCTTTTTAATGAGACAAAGTCTCACTTTGTGGCTCAGACTGAGTGCAGTAGCACAACCATGGCTCACGGCAGCCTCAACCTCCCATGCATAAGTTGTCCTCCCACCTCAGCATCCTGAGCAGCTGGGACTACAGGTACGTGCCACCATACCCATTTAATTCTTTTTTCCTCACCATATTGCCAGAACTGGTCTCGAACTCCTAGGCTCAAGTGATTCTCCTGCCTCAGCCTCCCAAAAAAGTTTTGGGATTACAGGCATGAGCCACCATACCTGGCCAGTTTTATTTTATTAAAGAGAGTTTTAAATAATTGTGATAATTTCATTACTATTTTGACACTTATTATCACATCAAAGAAAACAAAATCCCTCTAAAAATGATGGTTGTGGAGGAATTGACCTGCCCAAGTACTGACTTGTATGTGTCCTTCCTTCTAACTCCCCTTCTAGTTCCTCAATACTGTGGCCTTGGCAGACTCTGGCCGGATCCCAGGGGCCCTTCCTGCAATGATTGACATGGACAAAGTTCACACATACCTTGCTGCAACTGTGGCCCACAAAACCCTATCATCAAGATCATCTAACAGCCCTAGATTAGTACTGTGGAAGTCTTGCCATTGGCTTTAGGCCATTTTGATTTTAGATGATTCCAACAGAATGCAAGGGTTTTAAACTGTTTTTCCTGACCTGTATTCTTCCGTAATTCAGGAAGAATTTTTTTTTGTTGTTACATGGAAACTTTATTATCATTACTATTTTCCCAGAGAATAATAGTCTTTTTGACTTCCTTCTGATAATGACTCATTTGGCAAATTCAAAGAAACTGTTTACTAGGCAGTACACAAGAGCTTTACAGACCTGAACTCTGATATAAGCACATTTCCTAACCTCAGAATCATCATCGTAAAGGAGACAGAAATCTTAGAGATCGTCTATACAGTTATGCTGCAATGAGTCCTCAGATAGGTTTCAGGATGTGTTATTTTGAAAAATCTATGCCAAAGGTGTATTTTGCACAAGCCCAGAGATATTTTCTTAAGGAGAAGGTCCATAACTTATCAAAATCTCAAAGGGGTTCTTGATTCACAAAAGAAATACTGTCTCTTAACTCCCTCCAAGTCCAGAGAGAAAGAGAACCCTGTAGAAGTGATTATTCAAGGCCTGACTATGTGGGAACAGAGCAAGGACTAGTAACAAGGCCCTGTGACAGTGTCATGTACTTCCCATCACCCGATACTTCTTGGTGTTGGCAAAAAAGAACCTATTTCACTATAGCTACTATCACAGTCAAAGCAACCAGCATTCCCACTTATGTCTTTATAGGAGAAAATAAATGTACTTAAATGAAAAAAAAAAGTGTACATGTTATATATATATACATATATCTTAGGAATAAATATTATGCCACATTCCCAGCTTATAGCTCAAACAAGACTTATGTTTGGCAAAATACTGAATTCCATACCCTGGTTGTGAATTATTTTCCTCTTGAGCTTTCCATTTTTAATCAATTAGCTCCAACTAAGAATTTTACATATTATGATCCATTGGGTGGCCGTAGCATTTATATGACTATTTCAGCCTGAAAAATGTTTTAGTAGCAAGTATAAATGAGTTACAGGAAAACTCAAGTGATGAGAATTGAGAAATTAGGGAAAACAAGTATCTGGGTTTGTGGTGGGGTGATGGGGAGGTGAGGTTAGCCAAGAAAAAGTCAAGAGCCTACCTTTCCACACTCCCCCAGCCTCTCCTTCTCCAAGAGTTTTTGGGACTCCTTTTCCCAATAGGCCATCAGTGCCTCTCTGCTGAATGTCCCCGTGGGGGTTTTCTCCGTCAGGCTCTTTTGCCTTAGCCCCACGGGAAGGTTGCGATCAGGTTCAATGTCTTCCAACTCTCTCTCTAACTCCTTCAGCTCCTCAGCTGACAGGGAGGCGAGGAGTTCATCCTCATCAATGGATTCATATTTACTGAGTCCTCTTCGGTAGCCAAAGGTGGACATGGTCCCTGTTTTGTCAGACCCAGAAGGAGCTTGAAGGACCAGGCATTCAAGGCAGCCAGAAGCAGGCAGGGAGGCAAGTGGCAGGCTGGTCAACAACTGGTGCTAGGAGTGCCTGTGGGAGCCTTTTAAGAGTGGTGATACAGGGCTGTGACAATGCAGAGAGGGGTGAAGGCATGGGCTGTTTTAAGCATCAGACGTCAGCTAGACATTTGAACACAAAGAATGTCACATCGGTGGTGGATGGAGGTCTCAGAACCAGTGGGGATTATTAACATACTGGCCAGGGCCATATTTAGCTGAGCCTGATAGCTCATGAGGACAGGCAGAGTGTTTCAGATAAGGAGTACACAGTTCTCACTTTGTATTCAAACAACAGAGAATAAAATTTATTTTGCCGCCACCACCACAGCCATGAAAAGATTCTTTCATTGTAATCTTAGGGTTGAGAAGTGTCTGCACAATACTCCATGGGTAGTTATTCTGGTTCTTCTATAAACATACTGCGGGTGGTATTGATGGAGACAGAAGGTCATAGTAATATAGTGTTTCATAATTTTGTTTTACTTCACAGTTTACAAAGCACTTTAATAAATTTTTCTATTCATAAATCCTGTGAGATAAATAACATGATTCTCATTTATAGATGTTGGCAACTGAGGCTCTCAGAGATTAAGTGAAAAGTCAGATGTCGGAGAGCTGAAAGTACAGAGAGGTGTCTCTCCATTGACCACAATGCTTCCTCCTTCTCACCATGATTATTAGTAAAAAACTAGACTTCCAGGTAACACTCAAAAAAGACAAACAGTAGTACTGGATATAATTTGTTAAAGACTGACATTATGCCATTTCAGTGTTAAGCATTATCTCCTTTAGTTCCACAATCCTGTAAGGTGGACATTAGTGCCCATACTTTACTAGCACACACTCAGAGAGGTTAAGTCACTAACATGGAAGTGCAGAGCTAAGAAGTGAGAGAGCTAGAATCTGAGCCCAGATTTGTACCTAGCCTGAAAATGGAAGAGATGTGAATTTGAAATTATATATATGACATGATCACTATGTATTATGTGTATGTAACAGATTTTCTCATGTACTCCATAAATTTGTATAAATTTTTAAAAATTATATATGAGCATATTATTATATATGTGTTAAATCCATAATTTATAGGACTTAATAAATATATCTTAGCATACAGATATGTAAAATCTATTAAAATATGCATACAAAAATACATTTATCAATACATGTATAGTACATGATATTCTGATTATACCTTCAGCAACTGGTGAATATTTGGGTTGTTTCTGGCTTTGGGTTTCTAACTTTTATCTATGAATAATTTTCTATGAATTTACATGCAAGTGTTTGAGTGACCTCAGGTTTTCATTTATTTTGAGTAGGCATGTAGGAGCGGAATTACTGGGTTATATGGTAAATTTTAAGAAACTGTAAAAAAAAACTGCTTTCCAAAATGGCTGCACCAATTTACATTCCAATCAACAATGAATGAGAATTCCAGTTTCTTGACATTCTCACCTATTATTGCTTGTCTTTCTATTATAGTCATTTTAGCGGGTGTCAAATGATAAGTTTTAATTTTCATTTTCCTAGTAACTAATGATGTTTACCATTTCATGTGTTTTTGGCTAGCTTACATCATCTTTGGTGAAATATTTATTCAAATCTTACCTCCCCCTTTAAAAAAAACTTTTTTCAATACAGGATCTTACTCTGCCACCCAGGCTGGAGTGCAGTGGAGTAATCATAGCTCACTGCAGCCTCAGTCTCTTGTTTATGCCCGTTTTAAAATTGGGTTAACTGTCTCTTTATATAGAATTGTAAGAATCTTTATATATTCTGAAGACAATTATTTTTTCAGGTGTATAATATTTTCTTGTATTCTGGGGCTTGTCTTTTGATTCATTTTGAAGAGCAAACTTTTTAAATTTTGATGAAGTCCAAGTCCAGTTTGACAATTTTTTTTTTCTTGTGCTGCTTGGTGTTAGAGTTAAGAAGTCATTTTCTGGCCAGGCACAGTGGCTCACGCCTGTAATCCCAGTGCTTTGGGAAGCTGAGTTGAGCAGATCAGTTGAGGCCAGGAGTTCGAGACAAGCCTGGCCAACATGGCAAAACCCTGTCTCTACTAAAAATATAAAAATTAGCCGAGGCTGGTGGTAGGCACCTGTTATCCCAGCTACTGAGGAGGCTGAAGTGGGAAAATCACTTGAATCCTGGATGTGGAGGCTGCAGTGAGCCGAGATGGCACCATTGCTGTCCAGCTTGGGTGATAGAGCGAGACTCTGTCTCACAAAAAAACAAGAAAGAAAAAATTTTTTCCAACCCAGGGCCACAGAGATTTACTTCTATTTTCTTCTAAAAGTTTTATAGTTTTAGGTTTATTTAGGCTTCCTACCCATTTTGACTTATTCGTGTGTATATGTAAGGTAAAGGTAAAGGTATATATTCATCATCTTTTTTTTCTTGAGGCAGGGTCTGACTCTGTTGCCCAGGCTGGAGTGCAATGACACCATCATAGCTCACCGTAGCCTCTACCTTTGGGGCTCAGGTGATCCTCCCACCTCGACCTTTGGAGTAGTGAGACTATAGACAGCAAGCCACCCCATCTGCTTCCTTTTTTAAAATTTTTTGTAGAGACACAGTTTTGCCATGTTGCCTAGGTTGGATTCAAACTCATGCACTCAAGTGGTACCCCCCGCCTCAGCCTCCCAAAATGCTGGGACTACAGGCATGAGTGACAACACCTGGTCCAAATTTCTCTTTTTGCACACAGATATTCAATTCTCCTAATATCGTTTGTTGAAAAAACTATCCTTTCTTCTATTGAATGACCTTGGCAGCTTTGTGGAAAATTAACTGACCATAAATATTTCTAGACAGTCAATTCTGTTCTATTAATCTGTATATATCTATCCTTATGCCAATATGACATGGTCTTAATTACTATAGCTTTATAATAAGTTTTGAAATCAGGATGTGTATAAGTCTTTCTGATTTTGCTCTCTTGCAAGAATGTTTTGGCTGTTTTTATCTTAACTCAGTAGGATATTCTACTCCAAAAATAACTATGACACTTCTCACTGATGCTAATGAGAAAGATGATGATCAAATTAGAAATAATGAGTTTATGGGCTGGGCGCGGTGGCTCACGCCTGTAATCCCAGCACTTTGGGAGACCGAGGCAGGCGGATCACAAGGTCAAGAGATCGAAACCATCCTGGTCAACATGGTGAAACCCAGTCTCTATTAAAAATACAAAAAATTAGCTGGGCATCGTGGTGCGTGCCTGTAATCCCAGCTACTCGGGAGGCTGAGGCAGGAGAATTGCCTGAACCCAGGAGGCAGAGGTTGCAGTGAGCTGAGATCACGCCATTGCACTCCAGCCTGGGTAACAAGAGCAAAACTCTGTCACAAAAAAAAAAAGAAAAAGAAAAAGAAAATAAAAAGAAAAAAGAAATAATGAGTTTATTTATTTATTTACAGTCTGTAGCATATGCTTTTGTGTAACCTCAGCTCAGTGAGGACACATCTTTTGTATTTGAATGGGTTTGATTTTTGGCAATGACATCAAGTCATGATAGTCAAAATCTGATGCATGAAATGAGATATTCAGCTGTGGTATCACATTTTAGGTAAAAAAATGAATAAGGATTACAACCATGTAAAAATCTATGTGATTTGGGGGAAAAAAAGAAGAAAAGACATATAAATGATAGCACGAGTTCATTCTTTTGACAATTATATATTGGCCATATGTGATATGTTGACTACTGTGCAAGTTTAGGGCATATAAATAGGAGCAAAAAGCACTAGAATTGTGTTTTATCGTATCTCTGTCATGTTTGCAGTTGTTCTCTAACATCTTTTTTTTTTTTTTTTTGCTGATTTTTATTAAACAATTGACTAAATACATATTACATGCTAGATTCTAATTTAGTTGCTTGGGTTAGAGAAGTGAACACAATCAACAAAGTTCTTTCCTCCATAGAGCTTACATTCTAGTTGGGAGAGACAGACAATGTCTAGACAAACATGTAAATATAGAACACATTCGAGAAAAGTTCTATGGAGAAAAATAGAGCAGCGTAAAAGGGAAGGAAGATAATGGGAGTAATATTTCATCTAGGAAGATCTCTGTATTAAGGTAACATTTGAACACAGACCTGGGCTTGATACATGCAGACTATAATATACATTTAGTGTGGCTATAGAATAATTATTCAGATATTTTAGAATCATAGGTTCTCAGATTTCAAAAAGACTTTGAAATACATTGAATTTTCTATCACTTCTATACATGATCATCTAGTATTTGCTTAAACATCTTTAGTGAAAATAGCACATTTTCAAAAGCTCATTTCATAGTTGAATGACTCAAATCTTCAGAATTTTGTTTTATTGTTTTGAAACTATTCTCTTGAAAAATCCACATATTTAAAATTTTCTCATTGGAACAACCCAGAATAAATATCGTCTCACAACGATTTATTTTCCCAAATCTTATGTGTCCCATGAGTGACTCTGAAAATGGCTGCAAAAGAGAAGGCTTAATGCCTTTTGTTTGTTTGTGTCTTTGCCGTGTGGCAACATCACGGGAAAAAAGCATTATGGCCTCTCAAACACACTGTCTTAAAAACAATGGTCATTTAGATATCCTATTATATTTGTGGCAAATCATTCCGATTATGATAATAATCATAACTCATGAATGATCTTATTAGTTGGTTCAAATAGGTTGGATATTTCCTGGTTCCCCCTGTAAGGATCCTTCGCAAACTTTAAATCTCTTAGATATGCTTATGCTGAGTGATCAAACACTACCCACCTGACCTTGACGAGAATTAAATATGGTGAATAATTGAGATTTCTTTGGAACCTTGTCTACATTGAAAAAAATCCAGTCACATATATGTTCCAAGCATTAGCATTTTGTATTTTGAGATTTTTACTTGGTCACATCTTGTTTTTGAATAGAATTGTTTTTACAGTCAATAATATTAAAAGTCTTTTGAAGATTAACATTTTTTGTGAAAAAAAAATTCTACATAGAAATTCTGTGAAGAATTTCTTCGTAGTTCTGGCTTCCCAATCAGATATATGCAGATACACTCAGATACATACTGTCTCCCAGTATATTGGTAATTCCCTTTTTAGTGAAATCAGAGCTTC